CAAGCAAAACTCACCTGAAGATCTAGCGGAGTAGGCAAATATAAGTACATCATCGATTTCTCCTCGGTAACTGTCAGGGGGAGGGTAGTAGACAAGTTTATTGGTAATGTTCCGCCGTAAATCTATCAGGTATGTTGAATGAATCATAGGGAAATCAAAACAACCAGTTGTTTCTCTGTTAAGTACTGGAAAATAGTCATCGGTTCTTTTATAATATCCCTGGAAAAGTATCATAAATAGAACAATAATTAGTTGATTGATAAGTTCATTCATTGAAAACTTATTAATAATAATAAATTAATCATAATGATAGTAATAGTAATAATAATCTTATTWACCAATTAATCAATAATAATAATAATCAATCAATTAAACATAATGAATTTAAAAATAAAGTAAATTGATTGATACATTTTAAAATTATTAGATGAAGCATTMTAGTTATTAGAGGTATTAATAATAAATATATCCAAAATGGCCGCTGATCATGTTCATTAGCAGAACTTTTCCAGCTTAGACAAAATGACCCCTGAAAAATAATATCTATAAAGTACATGCTTTTCCTCAAAGCTTCGTAAAGAATTTCTTTTAAAATTATTCATACAGATATAATTTATTTTCAAATCATCTTATTATACAGATTAATGTCTGTGGTGGAGGAAAATTGTTAAAGATTTATTTACAATCGATGTTTTACTCACATCATCATCAAGTCCTCCCCAGTAGTTGGAGTATCCTGACTTGTTACCAAACACTTCTATCATTGGTGCTATTATTGTTCTGTTTCATATAAGCAATAAGAAGCCAACCATTAGAAACTGGAAAAGTGAGGGGAGAGGGGAAAGTGTGTGTGGGTCTTTCCTTTCGTTTTTCATTTTGCACACACAATTTTTGTCTTCATTCTATCTAAAATGGAGACAGTTTAATAGAATACTAGGTGAATGCACTCAATGGAAACTGATGCATGTGGATGATACTGATGAATGCTGATGATAATGATGCATGCTGATGATACTGATGCATGATAATGGTGATGCTAATGGATGATACTGATACTGATGGACACTGATGATAGTGATGAATGTCAATGATATTGATGCATGCTGATGATATAAATGCATGCTGATAATATAAATGCATGCTGATGATACTGATGAATACTTTATGACAATAATAATTTGATGACACTCATGCATGTCGACGATAAAGATGAATACTGACAATCTGATTATAATGATACATGACGCTTATAATAATGAATGCTAATAACCATGGTACGTTGCTGATAATATTGATGCATGCTGATGCATACTACTGCCGACTTACTTTTCTTCAGCCATCAAGATTCTCAATACATTAGGGTTGGTCATAAAAATATCACAGTCAATAACCTAGAAAAGAA